TGTAAATGCTTATATTAAAAAAGAAAAAAAAAACGCAATAGCTTAATAGTCCACCTAAGACACTAGACAAAAAGATCAAAGAAAATAATAAAGATGAGAGCAAAAATAAAAGATAAAGAATAGAAAAAAATCAATAAAGCCAAAAGTTAATTCATTTAAAATTTTTTGTTAATGACAGATCTTTGACTAGACTGATCAATAATAAAAAAAAAAAATTCTCAGGAATTAAAGTGAACACTACTACCAACTTTATAGAAATTATAGAAAGGATTATAAAAGAAATAAAAAATCTAAATAAACCTATAAAAACTAACAATATTGAATTAGCAATTAATAAAAAAAAAAACCTCCTTACAAAGGAAAATCTAGATTTAGAAGTCTTCACCGGTGAATTTCATCCAATGTTTAAAGAAAAATTTTACACTAATCCTTCACAAACTCTTTCAAGAAATAGAAGAGGAAGAAATAGTTCCCAACTACCCTATTATGAGGGATCAAAAAGTGAAAAGACAGCCCATGGGCTGGGATAAAATATTTGCAAATCGTATATCTGATAAGGGACTTGTATCCAGAATATATAAAGAATTTTTACAACTCAAAATTCAAAAGGCAAACAACCCAATTTAAAAAAATGGACAAGGGAGTAGATATTTCTCCAGAGATACACAAAGGGCCAGAGCACATTGCAATGATGCTCAATATCTGTAGTCATTAGGAAAATGCAAATCAAAATCACAATGAGATACAGTTTCACTCCCACTAGGGTGGCTGAAATAAAAGAAGACGCACGTGCTGCTGTCAATGGGAGACGCTGGAACCCTTATGCATTGCTAATGGGAAGGAAAAATGGTGTCATAACTTTGAAGAACAGCCTAGCAGTTCCCCAAAACTTTAAACATAGATTTATGGTATGACTGTAATTTTGCTCCTAGGGCTACCCAAGAGAACTGAAAACACTTCTTCACATAAAAATTTGTTCGTAAATGTTCACAGCACCACTATTCACAATAGCCATAAAGTGGAAGCAATTGAAATGTCCATCAACTGATGAGTGAATAAGCAAATGTGACGTATCAGTACAACAAAATATCATTCAGCCGTAAAAAGTAATTAAGTACTGATACATGTGACAACATGGATGAACCTCGAAAACATGATGCTAAGTGAAAGAATCCAGACACAAAAGGATAAATACTGTATGATTCCATTTATATCAAATATCCAGAATAGGCAAATCCATAGAGACAGAAAGCAGATTAGTGGTTTCCAGGGTTGGAGTGAGGTTGGGTAATGAGGAGTGACTGCTGATGGGTACAGGCTTTCTTTTAGGGGCCATGAAAACGTTCTGAAATTAGATAGTGGGGATGGTTACACAACTGTATGAATATACTGAAAACTGAATTGCACACTTCAAAGGCTGGATTTTACGGTGTGTGATTATACCTCAATAAGACTGTTAGTAAGGACTTCCAGGTCCAGTTCAATTCAGGAAACTTTTCAATAAAATGTTTGAATAGTCAGCCTCTGTTTGAATACTTGTAAAGGCAACATGCTCACTCTTACATAGGGCAGACTATTCTGTTTGTGGCTGTTTGGATTGTTTTTCTAACCACTGAGTTCCCCCACACCTTCCACCATGCCCGACATATTGGAAGGGCTCCCATAGTGTGAAGAAACGTTGGATTGACATTTCATAGTGATATTTTTAATGGAAAAAAGCAAGTAACAAAACAGTATATTATATAATAGAAATTTTATTTTATTATGTAACTAAAACATGTGTATATTATATATATCTAATATTTAAGATAGAAAATATGTATCATATGTAATCTTTAATATGCATGAACTATTCCTTGATGGATATTTAAAAATCTTTAAGCAGTTACTTCAGGAAAGTATCAAGGAAGGGAAGTTAGAAGGAGACCTGTATTTTTCACCCTATCACCTTCAATACTAGTGTAATCCGTTTCTTTTCTTTTCTTTCTTTTGTTTATTTTTTAAAGACAGAGTCTTGTTCTGTCACCCAGGCTGGAGTGCAGTGGCATGACCTCTGCTTGCTGCAGCCTCCACCTCCCAGGTTCAAGTGATTCTCCTGCCTCAGCCTCCCAAGTAGCTGGGACTACAGGCACCCACCACCATGCCTGGCTAATTTTTTTTTAAATATTTTTAGTAGAGACAGGGTTTCACCATGTTGGCTAGGCTGGTTTTAAACTCCTTAACTTAACTGATTCACCCGCCTCAGCCTAGTGAAAAAGGTGTAATGCTTTTTAACCTTAAGCAACTCCATAATACTAGGAAAAAAACGGGTTCCTCATTTGGGTGCTAAACTCTGATACTCTACTTCACTATATGTGATTTGGTTTTTTAGCAATGGAGAATCCTTAGAAAGGATACATTGTTTTCTGTGGCTAATACTACGTAGGCCAGTGTTCTCAAAAGACTGTTGGAACGGACATCCCGGGTTCTGCTCATGGCACTCTGACTACTGCGCTTGTCACTAAAGACCAAAGAGCCTGCCTCCAAGCTGCAAACACTTTTCCTTACCTGAGCCATAAGCAAAGGAGCCATGGAGTCCTCAACACAAAGCTCCTCCATTCTCCATCATAATCATCAGTGGCCACGTCAGCATATAGCTTCATCTCAAGGGCTGTGAGCTAGTAGACTAAGTTACTCACTAACGACTTGGCTTCCCCAAGCACACACATACTGTATGTCACCTCTGTGCCAAGCTCTGGGCTAGACACAATGTCTGCCCACAAGACCTTCTGAACATATTACGAAGTCTTTCAAACCCTAAAAGCTTATGTCTCTGATTTCAAAGGCACCCTAGAAGGCCCACAACTTTAAGAATCTGCACCAAAAATTCAATACACTTGGGAGGCAGCAGGAATTCTAGTATGAATATCCAGTGACAGAATAGCATAGCTAGCTGGTCCCAGACTCAACATTTTGCAGCTAGAAGGGACCTGATTCAACTTATCTTTACAGACGGAAGGTGACCAAGAGGAAAAGTGATTGATTTAAGGACACGTTATTAGGTCAGGGCAGGATCAAGTTATCTGACTCCTAATCCAGTTTTGGCTGCTCTTCTTCCAGCTCTGTGGCTTCTGACTCCCTCCAGTAACTTCTTGAGCCATCTGTAGACCCACCCCTGACCTCCTCTCCATCACACCTTTGTGTATGTTCACCCCCCATCACATCAGGACAGTGACTATGCATCCCATCTTAACTAAAGCCTCTGTGGTTCATGCTGACAGCATCCAGGGCCTTTTCTCCGGCTTCCCCCTTAATGTTTCAGTGGGTTTAGGCATCTGGAGTGGGGAGCTGGTGAGCAAAGGATGGCAGTGGGGTAGGTGATGTCTGGGAGTATTTAAGACTGAGCTTGCCCCGTAGTCAGAGGTGCCAATACCCTGACACATATTTGGCACTCTTGCTCCTGTCCCCCAGAATCCAACTTTTCCAGAGCCCAGTCCTATGATACTTCACTATGAGCATATGACTATGTCATCTCAATAGTTAATTCAAGCCTGCCTTCTGGATCTTCTCCAGAAGTATCCAGACTCTTACGGTGTCCTAGAATGAAAGCAGGGTAAAGCTGGGGAGTCCTGACTCCTTACCTGCTGCGTGGATTCAAAACTCCCTCCCCGCGATTGAAGGCAAAGAAAGCAGGAGGTTTGAAGGGTACCTGATTCTTGTAAGAGAGGGAAGGAATGAGGGGGTGGGAGAGGGAGATAGACTGGAGAAGAAAGAGAAGGTAGGGTGGAATTCATTAGCTGATTATTCTTTATCTGATTGTCCAGGTGCACACGGTTACCATGTTGCTTAGCAAAGCCAAAAAAAAAAAAAAAGTATTTAATTAGCCTCTCCTCAACCACCTCTCTGCTTAACAGTAGCAATTTTAGAAGCTATTCTGAATGCTCTATTTTAGAAGCCATTTATAATTATGAATGCAATACTGCAAGGCAAATCTGTTGCAAAGTGAACGGGAAGATCCTGCAATCCGTGCAGGATTTAATGGAATCAATTTAAGAATTGTTACGGAGCAGAACTTCAGTCTGCCCACTGGCAAATGAGGGTGAAGCAGCATTAGACCAGTGAAGAAACAAAAAAGAGAAAATCAACAGAAGATGGCAAAATCTCCAAGTGACAATACTGTGAATACCAAAGCGTTAAAGGAGGCATTTGGGTCAAATGGTTAAGTTTTGATTTATTTTTGCAAAAGTGAGGATTTTTAAGGTAGTGCTGAAAAGTCAATCACAAAACAAAGGAATGCCCCATTTCTCTGTTATATAATTTTGTCAGCATAATTAAGCCAAAAAGTCAACACTCCTATTATTCCATGTTTATTCTAAGACTTAATGCATAGTTGAAATTATAATGTAAATATTCTTAACTCAAAGGTGAAAATACACTTTATTTCATAATCTATAATTTCACTTTAAAGGTAAGTTCCCAACCAAACTTTTTTTTTACCATGAAATGTTATGCCCCTGCTTTCAGTGGGGGTTGTCCTTTCTTTACAACCAATTCCCCTCAGGTAATGAAGACCTCCTGCAGGTTCCTCTGTCCTTGGTATCATTGCCACTTCTCTGAATCATGCATCCTCAGTCAGGATCCCATGATAGGTGGTTATGGAAACACACAAGTAATAGTGACGCAGTTAACATTACTGAGCCTTATCTGCATATCAAGCACAGTTCCGCGTGTTTTATGAACATTAACTTATTTATTCCTCACAAAAACACTATAAGATAGATGCCATTACTATCCTCCTTTGGCTGAGGAGGAAACTGGGGCATGGAGAAGTTAAATAGTTTGCCCAACGCCACACCACTGGTAAGTGATAGATGCTCCGTGGTGGCCGCAGAGCCCTTGAGCTTTTGCACAATACCCCGCCTATACTATGTGCATTTGGACTTGGCTTCCTGTGGGAAAGAACACTGTTTCTCCTTAAGGAAGGAAAGCTGCTTCTAAGACAGTTCCTGAGCCTGACTCACCTCGCAGTGTTTAGGTTCCGATAGAGCTGCCCCAGGGACTCCAGCAGCCTCCCTTCCATTTCCCGGTCCCTGAGTTGCTGAGCCAGGGCCAGCCAATGCTCATGGTAGGTGATGCATGCTTCAGGATTTGGGGACACAGAGCTGTAGAAATGGCAGAGGGACTTGGTGACCTGAAGCTGACCTGAACACAAAGCAGGGACGTGAATGAGATGACTTGAGACAGGACATGGACATAATTTGCTCCAGCCCTTTTCTCTGTAGCTTCCCAGCAGCACAGGACATACTCACTCTTTAGGTGTCGATGCCTTAAGCCAAACAGCAATGCCACTTCATAGCAATGAAGGCCATGCGTCAGCTGGTGTCCAGACACCAGAACTTCAGCCAACCAGAGAAACACCTGTACTAATTCCATGTCTGTCTCCTTGCTGCCTTGAAGTTCACAGTAGAGTCGTACAGCCTGCAGGAGATAGTTTCTGGCTGGATGCTGAGCCAAGCACTTCAGGCTCAGGTGACCAAGATTGGCCATAGCCACTGCCTGGTTACGCACATCTCCCACCTCCTGAGCTCTGTTCAAGGCCCGAAGATAGCTCTTGGCTGCCCTGTTCACCCGGCCTTCACCTTGGAGTGCAAGTCCCAGGAGGTTATGGACAACTCCCTTTTGAGTGGCACTCTCTGTCTCCTTCAGGGAGCGTAGCAGTGGCTCAAGCACATCCGAAGCCTTCTTGGCCTGGCTGGCTAAGAGATAGGCCCATGCCAGGCAGAGGGAAGACTCAAAGGATTCCTGTTGACCCAACAGCTGCCCTAGCACCACTGCCTGGCTCAGGTAGTGGATGGCACCATCCGGAGACCTGTGCTGGAGGTACACTTTTGACAGGATGAGACACAGGGTCCTCTGGGTGCTCCGGTCTGCTAGCTCCTCACAGGCAGCCAGGGCCTGTCTGAGCATGGGGCAGGCCAAGGTGGAAACTTCACCCCAGCCTGGGGAGGGAATGCCAAGGAGCTTCGTTGTGTTCTGGAGGACCAGGTGGACCTGCCAAATAGGAAGAGACATCCCTTGGACACTCTGGATACCATGTTGCTGGACAGAGGCCACTGCAAGGTGTGGAAGATATTTCTTGTCATATAGAAAACTCAAAACACTGGACACAGCCTCAGAGGCAGGAGGGTGTCCAGAGAGGAGCTGCAGGCGCTCAGCAAAGGGCAGGACCTCCTCGTGCCGGCCTAGGCTCAGGAGCAAGCGGATGGCCAGAAAGCAGGCCCTGGCCTCCAGCAGGCTACTGCCCACTGCAATCCCCTGGCGCAACACGTAGGCCACCACGTCAAGTTCATTCTTGGCACTAGACTCACGGTCAGGCAGGCAGGCCAGCAGGGCACCTGCCTTTTCCAACAGGGTGGAGCCTTTATGTCTCAGCCTCTGCTTCAGGTAGATGGCGGCCAAATTGATGTACAGAGCGGCCACCAAGGATAGGTCCTCAAACGCCCCATTGAGAATGTGGATGGCCTCCTCAAAGTACACCCTGGCCTGAGAGAGTTTGACCTTCCTGATGCTCACCCGGCCCAGGAGGAAGCAGAGCCGGGCATGCGCCCAGGTCCTGTGACTCTTCTTGGCCCACTTTCTTGATGTCTCCAGGTAGGCCACAAACTCATCCTCCTCAGAGAAGCTGTAAAAGGAAGAAGTGAGGAAAGAGAAGGAGAAGTCATAGAGACTCTTAAAGTGGTCAGCGTAACCTTCATGATCCAGAAAAGCCAATATGGGGGCAAAGTTCTCGGCTTCCTCTTCCTGACCAGTGCTTAGGTCCATGAGCAGTTCCGGGTCATCAAGGTCATCAGGTTCCGGCAGTTGATAGCTATCTGAGGCTGCCGAGAGGAGCTCCTCCTCCAGGCTGGAGTCCTCAGAGCTGCTGGACTGTTGGAAGCCCATGGCCTGACGGTCCTCCCAGGCTCTGCCAGGCTTGGCCTCCTTGAAGCCTTCAAGCTGGGACGCTGAAAAGACAGGTAAAGTTGAGCAACCCTGGGCATCTGCACCTAAGGTGCCCACTCTTGGCAAGAGGACAGGAATGCTGTCCTCAAGGATGAAGGTCAGGTTCAGCATGATTGCTACTCACCACTCAGATCATTTGGAGGATTTCGGATGGATTCAAACCCACCTAAGTAGAGATGAAGAAAAAACCTGGTGTTAGATCAGGATGGGCCACCATGCCCATACCTCCAGGTGTACCCCAGACCAGTGGCCCCTTAGGAGACTTAGTGTTGAAGACCATCAGTCATCATTAAGGAACAGGGCAGAATTCTCCTTTCACCATCATCTTAAGAGCTGCAGGGGCCTAATCACCTTGTTTAATCCATGAACTTTACGGCTGGGAACCAAGGGACACGTGAAACTCAGAGTCAGAGAAGAAAAGCTGGAAACACAGGCTCTATGCCAAGACGTGTGGGTACTTCAGGTAGAGCAGTGGGGAACAGAGGGGGTTGTGATAGAATCTGAGGACCAGAGAGATGTGGCTCCCAAATCTCTCAGCAAGTTCCCAAATCTCTCGGTGGGAGCCAGGACACTACTCCCAGCACAGGGCACATGGGAGCACATAGTGCTACCTCCCACTTCCAAATGTATCACGCCCTTCCTTCTTCCCTCCTCCATTCATTCATCATTTATCCACTCAGTAGACGTTGGTTCCATGTGTCCACTGGACTGGACACTGTGTTTGTAAAAGTGGCAGGGGCAAGGGGCCAGAAGCAAAGGGTGAACGAAAAGGAGCAAAGATGCGTCCAAGGATGAAGTAGAGGATGGGAGAATCTAGAGTGCAGTTTGAGACATTTGGGGTTTGAGGTAGCTGCAGGAACTCCAGGCAGAGAACTAAATAGGTCTGGAGCCCAGGAGAAAAACTGAGACTGCAAACACAGATTTGCGACCCACAGCAGGTCACTCATTGCTGACCAGAGTCCCAGGACTAAATGTAATCACACAGGTGAGGCACTGGGGGGAAAATGAAAACAGTGGGGGAGCGAGGGAGTGGGGGAGTTTGTTAATAAGCCTGAGCAACTCACTGGCGAGCAGTAGCCATTGAGGGAGACTGAAAAGGCACAGTCAGAGAGAAAACAGAGTTACAGAGGCCAAGGTGACTTAAAACATGGCCACCTAATCCCACCAAAGTGCCACCAGACTAGGTAAGAACCAAGAAGACACCTGGGATTTGGCAGTGAAAAAGTGACCGCTGTTGGCTAAAGGAACCACAGTGGAACTGTAGATGTGAAGGCTAGATTCACGCTCCACAGGATGGCAGCTGCTAGAGGGAAGATTCTACCTCTTCTTAGCAGAGAAGCAACAACTGTCTGTGCCACCACTCTGAGTTCTCCAGTGAACTTTGAGGACCAGCAAGCCCCTTGCCAAGTCAAACCTTTTCCTGCTGTTCTCCAGGGAGGGCTTCTCCACAGATTTTCATTGAAGATACTCCAGATCTACAACCGCCAGAGGAGAGAAAGCCCCGTAGCTAAAGACGGAAGAGCTACAGAGCTTGGCTAAGGGCAGCTGTTCCCATGCCCTGGCCGCTCTGTTGTGGAGGGGCCCGTGCCCATCTTGGGCCACCTCTTCTCTCCCAGCCAGGACACCGAGAGCACAAATGGCACACAAGTTACAAAATGGTATCCCTTCTGGGAGGGAGAATTACAGAGGGGCAGCCTTCCCTAGGGTATAGGCCTTGGGAGTGCTAAAATTTACCAACAAGCTGTCCCCCGGCTGCTTGCCTTGGTGCTGGGGCAGCCTGTGCAACCATAAGGCACAGACTGCACCCCACAGAGATGCACTCCTGATCTTTTGAGTGAGAGGCAAGTGCCGTCTGGGGCCTCCTCTTCCGTCCTCCCGACCACTGGATCAATAGGTGGTGGAAATCGTGATCCAAGTCTGTCCCCCAGGCCTTCTCCTCAAGGAAAACTGCTAGTGCACCTCAATTTTGAGACATCAGGCTCCCACCTACTGGGCAGTGCCTACTGCTCCGGCTTCCTGCTCAACCTCATAAGGCAGTGTTGTCTGCTTGTGGCTTGTGCCAACAAAGCTCTGCCAGGGAAGGGTGCTGCGGCCTGAGGCAGGTGCTTTCACAAGTGCTCTTTATGCATGGACAAAGCTCTCAACTCCAGACTCTGCTCCTAGGAGATGGCCAGAAGGCCCCTTCTGCAGAATCTCTGGCTGTATTCATAAAATACGGATCATCTTATCTGGCTACACAGGAGCAGACACATCGCCATCAATAAAGAGATGGGAGAAACAAAAATTCTTCCTCACGTCACCATCAATGAGAAAATGTACTCCCTGACACAGAGCAATGGGCCTTTCTCAAAATAAAGGAAATGAGCATCATTCATTCAGTCAGTCAGTCCCTCAGGCACTGCTGAAAACTAGTCAGTTTGTCAGAGGAATCTTTCACAGCTGTTGAGATCTGATTCCACGACACAGAAAACACCCAAGACTAACACACTCAACAACTCAATATCATTTTGTGTCGGGGGCAGTGTGGTAAAGTAGATTGCTCTGGCTAGCAGTTCTTATCCTAGCTAATTCCTTTGGGCCTCATTTCTCAGTCTGTAATGTGAGATGAGGAATGATCTCTTAAGGCCTTTTCAGCTGTAATAGTTACGGCCCCACCCATGTCACTGGGGGCCTACTTCAGCCCTAGAAGGTACCTCAGCCAGGACTCAGGAAGTTCTCCCTCCCTAAGATAGGAGGGAAGACCCAATACAGCCAACCACCCGTAGTATAGGTGAGTTGGTTTCATCATGTCTCAAGTCCCCCCGCAACCCCGGAATTACCTGAAATCTAAAGTGAAATGCTGCTAATTAAATATGATTCGAGTCATCAACAGAATAGTGGCCATGCCCATGCAGAGTTATGAATGGGATTAGAATTTAGGGGTATTCTATTCCTGGTTAGGAGCATTATCTTATTTTTAAGGACCCCAGGCTTTTGAAGGGGTCTGAGGACCAACACTCACTGAGCCGGTAGACAGATGTGATGTCAGTGCGAGCAAGAGTGTGGAGGAAGCTGGAACACTCAGCCTGCTTATCACTTCCCAGGGCCAACAGGGAGCATCTCTCCTCATCACTGAGAAAGGCAGAGTTTCTGCTCCTGCATCGAGGCAAAAGACATAGAGACAGATCAGTGCAAGGCTTCAGACTCTATCTCCTCTTCTCCCCACACTAGGATGTGGTAGAGGATGCAGAAAAGCCATCAACCCATCTGCCCATAGATGAAACTGGATTCCTCCTCTCACCATTGCATACTATATTTATACCACCAAGAAAGAAGAGCTATTAGCACATCATGCTGGGAGAACTGAGGGGTGTGGTTGTCCAGTAGGTCAAAGTGGGGATGAAAACACCCCTCCTCTTAAAACCCCATCTCCCAAGAAAAACAAAGCCCTTCTCTCAATCTCTACTCATTCTTTGAGACCACATGGTACTCATTTTTAATGGGAGAAAGAGGAGTTCATTGCCCTAAATGCAAGGGTTGAAAAGGGACCATTAAAAGGAGTTCTATTTGTCCTTAGAGTATTTCAAGAAAAAGTGAAGGACAAGAGACACAATCTAGAGGAACAATGAAGAAAGTCTGACCACAGTCAGAGGACTCTTTCACTGTTGCTAAGATCTGATTCCATGGCATAGAACAAGAGTTTAGGCAACATGAAGAGGATTGGAATTGCTAAGGGAAAGAAGTGGGTAAAAGGAAGATCAGAGGAGCTGAAATAAATGATCATAAACAACAGAGATCTTGATACCCATGCTGTTGTATAAACTAATTGTTAAGCCTAATTTTCTTACTAGAGATTTGCCATAGAATTAAATAATTTAAAAACTAGAAGTGCCTTAGAAGCTACCGGATTGTATCTATCTGAACAATTTTTTTAGGCCACTTCTAGTTCTCAATAGAGAATGTCTTAATGTCAGAACCATTTTTAAAACAAAATTAACTTGGAAGCCCAAGAGTTAATAGCTAATACTTTGGGAGAAAGTGGTATGATGAAACAGACACTGTTATTTTATTTAATCCACACATTTGCCATATGAAGCAGATACTACTTTTTACAGATGAATAAACTAAGGCATAGCAAAATGAAGTTGGTGGTTGGGAAGCGGTAGAACAGGACATAAGAACTTCTTTAGTTAAAGCAGTGTTCAAGGAGGGGACAGGATGGGGTGCCTGTAATCAGCCATTATCATTTGTCCCCATAACTCAGGTAAATACAGTTTGAAAGCCAGTGATGAGAAACTACTCATAGCACCACACTTACTGGGCCCTCATCTCCCTGGGCTTATCTCCAGATTCCCTCCAGCACCACGGAAGCTTCTAATCTTAAAACAGCATGTAATTGAAATTTATGACTAAATTCAGTTGGGATAAAATATACGTATATAATATATGATCCCAAAGTTTTATAGATCTCTTAAATTTTATAATGTATTCCTAAATGCACTATTTCATTTGCTGTTTATGACAACTTTACGATGCAGGTATTTTTAATCCATGTTTGTATATTAATAAAGGGGTTCAGAAAGATTCAGTGACACGCTCAGAATTGCACAGCTAGAAAGTGGTAAAGCTGAAACTAAAACTGAGGTCTTCTACCTCTGTGTGTACTGCATCACAGCATCTGCTAACATCCTGAGTTCCAGGAGAACTTAGAGAACTTGGAATTTAGAGAAAGGCCAAGAGGCTTGACAAATTGCATTAGAAATTTCCAAACATGAAAATTGGGTTAGAAGAGCATGGCAAAGCTTCTGGCAATATGGCAGGTTGAAGGACTCCAAAAGGGCCACTCTCCCCCATATTTACAGAAAAATCCCGGATAAAATGTAACAGAGATGAATATATTAGTACCTTCTTTAAAGAAAGAAAGGGACATCACTGGAAGCAAGTAACAAAACCAAAAACCAAACCCAGATTGGCAGATGAGAGGAGATGGCCCAGAGCCCCTGGTGGTTTCATCTGGGACTTTGGCCCTCAGAACTGGAACTGAACTTCTAATACCCACCCCAAGGACAGAAGATGTGATTTTAGACTTGCCTGAAGCAGGGAGCCAAATTAAACTCCCTACATAAATCCTAGAGTCTGAAAGGATTCAACTGCTATAAAGAGCAGATTGGAAAATTTCTTCCTGCCTGCGAGAACACACTTTTCATCTATTTGAGTTCCTGGAAAACATCAGACACCTAGGCTTATACCATTAGGACATGTGGGATCTGAATTTACACTACCTGGTATTGGTACCACGTTCCAAGAATTAAGATTTTAAAAAACAGTCCTGAATCATTACTCCCTAAGGTTCCAGAAGCAAATGCAAAATCTAGTCAGCAAGGAGGCTTTCCTCAGTCCAGGATCAATACAAAGCCCATCTTTTAAAAGGCTGAAAATTAGTTCATGCAACAAAAAATACAAACCATACAAAAAAATGAACTATTCACAAAGAGAGCCAGCAGATGCATAAATAACTATATTAACACTACAAAAAATGAGAAATGACAATAATCTAAAGAACAATTTATAAGAATAATTTAAAAGGTGAAATAAGAAAAAACAGAAGCTACAATGAAAAGATTGAACACTGTGAAAAGGAACAGCTACATGTGAAAAAATAGCAAAATACAAATCCTAGAAAATGGAAAATAAAGGCACAGAAATTAAGAACCACATGGGTGGATTAAACAGCAAGTTTAATCATAGCAGAGGTGAGCATTCAGAGATGAAACTGAAGATTATGTTAAGAAAATCAATCAGAATGTAACCTGCTGCGACAAAAAGGTAAAAAAGATAAAAGAACTGATTAAGCCAGAATGAGGATAGAATAAGTCCAACATACCTCTAACAGGAATTCCAGAAGAGAGGAGAAAAAGAATGAGAGAGAGGCAATATTCAAAGGAAGAAGGACTGAGAATTTTCCAGAATTGAAGAAAGACATGAGTCTTCATACTGAAGTGGCACACCAAGTCCTGAGCAAAATAAATAAAAATAATATCATTTTTAACATGATGTCCATTTCTTTATGGTTACAGGTCTTTTTAAATAGTCTGCTTCTCCTACACCTCCATTCTTTTTTTTTTTTTTTTTTTTTTGAGACGGAGTTTCGCTCTTGTTACCCAGGCTGGAGTGCAATGGCGCGATCTCGGCTCACCGCAACCTCCGCCTCCTGGGTTCAGGCAATTCTCCTGCCTCAGCCTCCTCAGTAGCTGGGATTACAGGCACGTGCCACCATGCCCAGCTAATTTTTTGTATTTTTAGTAGAGACGGGGTTTCACCATGTTGACCAAGATGGTCTCGATCTGTCGACCTCGTGATCCACCCGTCTTGGCCTCCCAAAGTGCTGGGATTACAGGCTTGAGCCACCGCGCCCGGCCTTACACCTCCATTCTTGATGCAATTACTATTGGCTGTTCAACTTCATGGAATGAAAGAATTAAATATAAAAGGTAAGAACATAAATTAATAAAATAAAAACAAAGAAAGTAGAAGCAAATCATCAAGGCAAAGGCTTTCATTAATGAAATATTATTTAAAAAACAAAAATCAATAAAGATGTTCAACAGAAGAAAAACTGATTCTCTAAAAAGGCTAACAAAATGGACAAGTCCCCGGCAACATGGATTTGCAGTTTTATATTAAGAGTTATTTTTTCCTGCAAACTTTGAAGATGTTATGCTATAACTAGCTACATTATCATTCAAGAGTATATTTTAAGTATTATATATTTAAGACAGACCAAGACGCAGGACTGAGAATATTTATAACCCACCGATCTTTACTGAAATAGCTACTAAAATAGATACTCTATGAAGAAGGAAGTGAACAACTTGCTATCAATGTTATAAAATATATTATATGTAGACACATCATGCAAAGAAATGGCTATGAGACCAATGGAAAAATTATTTAGTTGCGAAAATAGATGCCACAATAAATTGAATCATAAAGACACAAAAGCAATATGAAGAATAAAAGAGGGAATGTAACAAAAGAATGTTTTCTAACTGTAATACTATAAAATACTGGCTTTTTTCATATTTTCTTTTTTCTGGTTTTGAGTACATTAATTTATCCATCTTACTTATTTTTTAATGTAGGCACTTAAATATACACGTACATTTTAGGGAGTAATACACAAGCACAAAGAGAAACCACGCAGAGAGGATGGAGACTTCAGCAAAGGCTGAGTCTTGGCAGATCCTGACACCCAGCTGAAGAGTGACACCTAGTGGCCAGACCAAAAGCAGAGTGCCAAGACTTCAACTCCCCGGCTGCTCCTCCTGTGGAGCTGGGTCATTCCTCCGAATTCAAAACCCACCCCTCAATTGCTGTGATTCAAGGAGCTCTGATATCTGGAGAGCGCTTCGGGGGATATACAAGGAGCAGGTACTTCTCTTCTCCTTGTGCCACCCCTCCCTGTTTTCTGGCTCATTTTCCTCTTCTGTATCAAATGTGCAATCGCTGGTACATTGGGTCCCACAGCTGACCAGGCACAGGAAAACGTCGTAGGCAACCTCACACAGCATAGGAGAGGCTGTTCTTCAATATGAGAGGACCCTGACTACTAAGCCAGTGAAAATGTGATGACTGAATTAATTCCGTAGTGCTGAGTCAGTCATTTGAGGTAAATTAGCGTGAGGTGCAGAAGTCCAAATATAAGTTACGAAAATGACACCTGTCCCCAATATCCTATTAAATCTGCCTCTCAAGATCACCACCCACAACAATAGCAACAACACAAACAACAGTAATAAGTGCTAGTGCCTGTGGATCACAAACACACACACACACACACACACACACACTGTGCCAGGCACCATTCTAACAACTTTGTGTGTATAATTAACTCATTTAAAGTCATGGCAATCCTAGGCAAGTGCTAACATTCTACACACTGTGCAGATGAGAAAACTGAGCCATGCAGAAATAGATGAATGCGTCCAAAGTCGCAGAGCTGGTAAGCCAATGGAGGCACAAGCTGCACTCACATGGTCACGAATGCCTTTTGGACAGCCTGACTCTGGAACTCTGTAAGCCATTTAGCTACTGTGTCTCTGGATGACATCCCAATGGCTGGTCCCAAAGGCCTTTCCTCAGTTGGCCCTGCTGTGCGTCTCTGAGGACAGCAGCTTGTGTCTTCCTCTCTGTGGCTCCTCTGTCTCCTCTCTGCATTCTCACTTCCCCTGCTCTGTAAGTGGAGGCATCCTCCAGGGTTCTTCCCCCATCCCTGTATTCCATTCTGTTTATCCTTTCTCCCTTTCACTGGAACTTCTCACCAGAATGCATTGGATTTAACGTCAGAATGTAAAATCACCAGGACAGTTAACCAGAGCTCACTGGATTTGATGTCGGGATTCTAACGTTCCAGAGGGAAGGCCTTGGGTTTAGCCCCTTCACCCATGGGGTCCTCACTTCCCCTGCGGTAACATGAGGGGTGGTTCAGAGCAATGTTCTCACCTTGACTGACCAGCAGCTACACCTGGGGAGCTTTTATCTCTATCATTGCCCAGCCCCAACCCAGACCAGTTACATGAGAGCCTCCAGAGGCAGAACAGAGGTATCCGTATTTGTAAAGCTCCTGGAATCTTTGACTTTCTGTCCACTGGTCTTCAGCAGTAGCTTCTTCTCTCCATTCTCACTCTTATCTAAGTGCCACCCTGGTCTCCTATCTTCAAATTCCCCCTGATGTCGCATGCCTTACCCAAAGCCAGGTTTCATTTTCTGGAGAAAAGGTCCAGTCATATAATATGTCACGCTTGCTCAGAGACATGCAGTGGCTCCCTATTCTCTACCAGGTTAAGGGACAGGGCCTTGACACAGGCATTCCCAGGTTTCCATATGATGGACCCATCTTTGCTGTACCAGTGCCCTTCTGGCAACTTCCCTCCCAACTACATGGGTCATTCTTCAAGCATTGACTCACTCTGCTACCTATGAGCTCTTTTCCCATCAGTATCTGTTGAAATATTTTACACTGTGCAAAGCTTAATTCACATGTCACCTTCTTCACGAAGTTCTCTTGATATCCTTTTCTTCCTTACAAATCCCCATCATTCTCCATACCTCTCCAGGAGCTCAGTGAGTGATCTTCCCTGTTTACAGTTATTTGGACTCCCACATTTCCACATAGGGAAAATAGTCTATCTCCTCTCCCCATGAAGGACAGGGCTAACAGGGAGCTTCTCCTCCTTGGTCTGCTCTCTTCATTGTCTATTTCCCACAAGAGAAAGAATTTCAGTCTCTGTTCAGATCCTTAGACATTTCTTGGCCACATTTTCCCAGTGTGGGGAGCCGTGTTGTCTCAGTGTGAGGAGCCAACTCCCCCATTCCCCATCTACTTCCCGCACCCAGGCTTTCTGCTGTTTCCTACCCCCATGCAGGAGCCCACTCCAAAAAGAGGGGCCAATATCCCATACCTCTGCCTTTCCTTGACAGGGTGGATGCAGCAGGCTAGTCACCCTCTCCTGATTGACCAAGCAGATCAGTCTGCTCCTCAGAACCAGCCTTTCTGGATTCAAGGCAGAAACGAGTAAGAGAAGCACTCTGCCTTTCTAGCCAATGCTGACATCACACATTGGCATTCGGCTTGAAAGGTGAATGAGTGAAGACCTACATGGGACCTACCTCCTAGCCCTATGCGGGATCAGCACACTGCCAATCTGTCACTCCCTGTGTGTGCCCTTCCTCTGAAGGGGTCCTGTGGTTAGACAGGGTGGGTAGCAGGATCCAAGCACCAAAGCTGCACCCTCAGTGCCTAACAGCACGCCCTTTGTCTTGGAGTTTTGCTGCTTTCCTTGCACAGAGGAAGTCCTCAGTGACCACCTGTTAAAATAAACTGAACTGATGCATTCGCTCCTTTCGATACCAACCTTGCTGTCAGAATGTGCTTTTCTGGCTCCATGTTACCAGGAAACCCTTGAAGCTCAACTGCAAATCTGCTCAAAGGGTAGAGGGACCCCTGGGAATGGCAGCCCAGCTCCAGGACATGCTCACTGTCATACTCACATTGGGGAATAAGAATCAGTATCTATGTTCCTGGTGGGGACAAAGCCCACTTGCCCTGAACTCGTCGACTTTCCAATGAACCACTGAAGCCCAGGTATGACAAAGCCAATGATCTCAATGCTTTCTCCCTGGTAGAAACTCAGTTCATCCTTTCCTTCTGGCTCGTAATCCTTCAAGGCCTTACAGCGTCCTCTGCCTGTGGAAAATAGCACACAGATCAGCTCCTGAAAGCGTGAACAGCTGAGCCTCCCACCACCTTCCAATGCAATAGAAAATGAGGGGTTCCCAGACTTTAGAATGTCAAGGACCAGTAACATTCCACTACCCTCCCCATCCAAAAATTGGCAGGAATGACTCAGTTGGCTTTTCATTTTGCCAAACTAGAACATATTTTTAAAAGAACTACAATCCACTTTCACCAAAGAAAAGATGTTTTAACAAACATAAAAATATATATATTCTCACATACTGGATATGCCTTAAAAACGAATAAATGTCACTTATGGGAAACAGGAAGGCTAACTGTATTGTCCTGGTTTGTCCAATTTTGCCACTGTCATGTAAATGCTTTGTCATGGTTGGTACAAATCCACAGACCAGTGTGTGAGAACCATTAAACCAGAGGAGCTCTCCATGTCCTTCCAGCTCCTTTGGCCTCTATGACCCTCAGTCTCCCCAACTGTAAAATGGGGATAATAAGAATCCCTGCTGCTTATAAATATTAAAAGAATCAAAGAGATACAGTGCACAGTGCCTGGTACCTGGTCAGCCCTCAGTAAACACTGGCCTCATTACCAAAGGCAGAATAGAAATCTGCTAATGACTCAGAAGGATCTACAAGACTCCCAGCTGGGCACAGTGGCTCACCCCTGCAATCCCAGCACTTTGGGAGGCCGAGGCTGGTGGATCATGGGGTCAGGAGGTTGAAACCATCCTGGCCAACATGGTGAAACTCCATCTCTACTAAAAATACAAAAAAAAATTAGCTGGGCATAACCCAGCTACTCGGGAGGCTGAGGCAAGAGAATCACTGGAACCAGGGAGGAGGAAGTTGCAGTGAGCTGAGATTGCACCACTGCACTCCAGCCTGGCAACAGAGCGGGATTCAGTCTCAAAAAAAAAAAAAAAAAAATCTAAAAGACTCACTTTCTGAATATGGTAATTAGTCTGATAAATTGCCTGACTAGGATCTAGCAATGACATTTTGATGAATGTTTTGTTTACCAAGTACAATTTGCATTCACTTTCTCAGGTCTTCCCAAAAGCCTCAAAGGGCAGGGAAATTATCAGAATCACCTTTTCCCAGATTACAGAGAGAGAGAGAGAGAGGGTACACGATTTGTCTAAGGATCTTATGTGTGGCAAAACTGGGTCTAGAGCTTAAGTCTTCCAACTGCTGATTAGCCTCTCTATTAATCCTGCCTGGTGGAGATAATGGCTTTTATGTGCCTCAGTTTCCATATTTGCTTTAGCTTCTCTGCTAAAGCTGCTGCCATTTGTTTCTGACATTTGTAGTCAGTTTTCTAGATTGTGTCTTCAAGATCAGAAATTCCCACTGTTTTGTGCGTTGATGGAATCTACCATGTGTTAAGTATCTACATTGTATCAGAAACTGAATGAAGTGATTTATGGATGTCATTTTGTTTGGTTCTCATAACGACATTAAAGTTGATTTTATTGTATCATTTTACTAATGAGGAAGTTGCAACATAGGACAGGTGGGTTGGCCAAGACCACACTGGTGGGGAGCCAGAATTTCAACCCAGAACAGACTTCAAAGCCTTGCATTCTAACTACAGGGCTATACTGTTTTAGGAAGCTAAAAATCTTGTCATTGATAATTGATTAGATCTGATGTCTGGGTTCCATAAACCTTCTGTTTCTTTTGTGTGTGTGTTATTTGGGCTTAGCACTTGTAAACTTGTGCTTTGTGGTAGGAGTGTGTGGCAGGAGGGTAAAGGGGAGTTCTAAGAATGAAAATAAATAGAAGGTATATTACAGATGTCTAAAAAGTGTCAGACTTAATTATCCAGTAGATATGTGTATACAGTACTTACAGATATGTGTGTATACACACATATAAAGATTACTTAAATTGTGTGTGTGTATGTGTGTGTATAATTCATTTATTCAACAAATTTTTACTGAGTACGCTTATATGCCAGGCGTTTCTACTTTTCCTAAATTCAAAGTTAAAAGTCTAAGGGAAATTAGAAAATGTTTTGACCAGAGCTTGAAACAGGCAGCCCACAGGTCACATCTGGCTCACAAAACATTTAATTTGGCCCACACCAGGCTCTTTTTTCACCCAGTTATCTTAAAATCCCTAATTGTTCCTGCCATTCCCTAACACCTTCCATCCAGGCCCTCTAGCATCTGTGTGTCCTGCCCACACCTGCAGGCATGTGTAGCTGCCCACTGGATTGAGACCTCTCCTTTCACAGGCAGGGAAAACCACGTGCACAGAAAGAAACTGACTTCCCTAAATCCAGTCCCTAGCAGAGATGAGACAGAAATTCACATCAACTGACTCCAAACCTGCAGATAAAATTGAGAGGCAGGAAAACATTATCTCCCCAACAATACTATGTTTTTGACTCAGCCATACCAATCTGATAGGAGCCTGTCCAATCCCTGTTCCTGGAAAGGCTGCAGCTTCCTGGATAATTCTTTAGGAACCATCTGCCAATGAAAACATGGGGTTTGCAAACATGGATTTCAAAAACTTGCAACAATGAACACAACACTCTATCAGAACAATGATGATAAATGGTCAGTATTGTTTTTTCTCTTATTTAAATGATGGCAAAGATTTATTGAGAACTTACTTTCTACCAGGACCTGTGAAGAGGTGAGGTGGTAATAGACCTGGGATATTCCGTGGCTTTGAAAGTAGTTGTCAGTTAAATAACTAACAAATAATCCCTTTACATTTTGTCAGATCTCTGCCAAAGCCACACACAGGTCCATGGCCTGGGTTAATGTTTACTGCCAATCTGTATATTTAAGTTTATCATCTCTTCCAGCAGGAATTCTTAAAGTTTAGTGTGAAAAAATTCTTCCAGGAAGTTTATTTAAAATGCAGATTCCTAGCCAAGAGAGTCTGAGGAGGCCCAGACAAATGGTTCACAGTCCATACATGGAGAAACCTACATTGGTGGTCATGCGGTATATTTGCTCCTAGATACAATGCCCATCTAAAATTTAGAGTTGTCTCCAATGTCATCAGATTGTACAAACCTTGACTGTTAAAAAAAGGAAAAGAAAAAGACAGAAAGATAAAGAGCCACCAAGAATCTATTTTCTCCTCCACACTGTGGACCCATATCTGAAAGCATGCCTACTCTGTTCTGTGCAGACTTCAATCTGCTCTGGGACTTGCTCCCAGGAGGCAGATGGCTACTCACTGGTGGAAAGGGAGAGGCAGAGGCTCCAAGGCTGACACCAGTACCAGGCCCCGCTGACCTGTCACCAAGGACACGCCTTCCCACTCGGACCCTGCTTCTGCCATCTTCACTGAGATTAACTCATTCTTGCAAAGTGTCAACCACTCCCCTTCCTTCTCGGCTGGTGGAGTCACAGAGCGCAGGGCTCTACAGAAGAAGTGGCCTGTGGATAATGAGAAAAGCAGTGGCTTTCCAAGGAGTATCAGGAAGTGAAAAGGGATTATCACATAAAGTAATATTTCTATCCAGAGCTGGAGTACTTTTCCTCCTGGATGTAAAGTAGACATTTCACAAGGAGACATTAAAACAAGCCTTATGATCCCAGGAAAACTGGCATCAAGAAGAAAGAAGCCATTGAGGGGGAACACCAATATTTTAGATTATTCGACACTAACATTTCTAATTATCTATGAGAAAAAGACTTAATTGGGACTTTATCTTGAAAAAGAGATGAAAACTTGTAAAAGTATATTAATATTTAATAGAATTTCATTTATCATTGAAACATCGTGATTAAAATTAGAACCAAAAAAGAATTAATTTGAGTGAATATAATCACTCCGATAACTTTTATAATAGCATGATATGAAATTCTTTCCTTCATGCAATGCAATCATAGGAAGAATCCTTTTTGCAAAAATATCATATGCAAATCTGGCTCTTTCCATGTGCCTGTGATGTCGTCAGGCATATCCACCTCATTAGTTGTTAATTGGTGGATGGTAACCTTGATTGCACACTCACCTGTAAACAGATCAGGAGGTGCTCCAAAGGGTTCCTCAATATCACTTTCCTCAATTTCACGAAAAACTTCAGGTTTTGCAACACTTGCAACTTTATTTTACAAATTATATCACATGTTTGGAAAAGTGTTTCTCAATTTTGGGTAGACATTACACTTATGTGGAAAACTTTCCAAAATATGCCAATACCTGGGTCCTCACCTTCGGAGATTTCATGGGCCTAAGAGGAGCCCTGGCATGAGTGTCTTAGGAACTCTCCAAGCAGTTCCAACATCAGTCAGTGAGACTGACCAGCACAGCTGTTCATGTGATGTCGGTGTCGAACTGAGAGGATGTCGAAGTACTATCATAGCAGGTGCGTTCATTTGTGAATATGCCATGTTTGAATGATTTTCCCCTCCCTTTGTATCCTGCTTATTTCAGGGCCTCTGATAGCAAATACCTGGATAAGATCCCATCGCTACCCCTATGCCGCACTCACCTTCCTGTATGAGGAGGCCCAGGTATATTGTTTCCAGGTGTTTATCATCTACAGACACTTGGATCTCTGTATCCTCCACCAATATGCAGTTGAGCCAGTACTTGTGGTCAAAGAGGAGATGTTCCAGACACATGGATACATAGCCTAAGAGGTCAAGCAAACAAGATTCCTGAACAAAATGATTTCTGACATAGCTGAGCACAGAGGAGAGTGCGAAAGTTCCCTCCTGAGCTTGATTCTCAGACCATGAGCCCCAACCTGTCATTTAGCTGGAATTAAAACAACATAAGAGAAAAAGCTAGACATTTTCTAGAATTAATTGAGTCTTCTCAACATCTGTTGGGAAATACAAGTCATTTCTAAATGTTACTTAATATTTCAACATATTGTGGGTTTCCATAAATGCCTAATGAGATGACCAAGACCAACTGCCTTTTTCTAATACATCCATGGAGGTCTCCAAGTTTACAGTGTTAGCTTTGGGGGTTCCTAGCGCCTCCTTAAAGTTCTCCTGACCTGAAGTTCAAACTGCTGTGCCCTGGATGATGCAGTGGCTATGGAGTTTCTACAGGGTTACCCCTCAGTGAATTTTAGGAGTCAGGATTTGCTTCCACCCACAAGCTCTGACCCTGCTCCACTTCCAATGCCCAGAAGATCTCTCTGGTAAAAGTAGACTAAAAACTACGTAAATTGTAAAACTCTAATAATTATACATAGCATTTTAAACATGACCATAAATATGAATTACTCCTATTGATTCTCTTGAGGCTTCTTCTTTTTTCTAAGATGCAAAAGCCTGCCTGTTTCCACCCTGACTGTCCATTGTGCTGATCTAGGCCTTATGTATCTTCTATAATTACATCCCATCCCTTTTCTGTGTGCAGATTTTGAACTTTAATGTGCACACAAATCACTTGGGGATTTTGTTAAACTACAGATGCCTAGTGAAGGTCTGAGACAGTGTTGAGCTGCTCCTTTTTTTAACAGGTCCTATGTGCTGCCAATGCTTCTGATCCATGAAGCACGGTTTGAACAGTGACGATGCCTGATGGTCCAGAAGGAAATGTGTAGTGTGAAGAGCAGATCTCCAGACCATAAAAGGAGAAGTTATACCTTCCACTCATGAGTCATATTGACCCTCCACCCCTCCACAACATCTGTCCCTGTGTATGTCAGCATGGAGCCCAGCATTTTCTGGGAGATATAAAACATACATCAAATTAGGTGGCCTCTTGCTTTGTTTGGCTTCATTCTGAAACCATAACTTCCCCATTATAAGTTATTCTCCCTGGAGAATGCAGGTGAAGAATTTACCACCACAATGGAACTGATGCTTGCATCCCAATATCCTTGTTTACGTTCTAGAAAACCCTGCAGCTTGAGGCTGCTATAAGCAGATAATTCCTCTATTTCTTTCTTTAACTCTTTCCCAATACATGTGATTAAAAAAAATCTGGAACTTTGCTATTTACTATGTTGAGCAGCTACTTTGATCTTACTCAAGATTAGTTCCCTATAGTTTAAAACACACACATACTGGCATCAGCTTCACATCTATTTCAGTACTTTGAACTTAGTAGATAACGAGTAACTGTTTTCTAATTGATTGGTTATCTAATAAAAAAAGGATCTCCCTGGATATAAAATAGCACACTTCTTTATATGGCATTTTAGAATACTGCTTAATATTTGCTTTAGATTTAGTTTGAGGCAGTCTGTGATATTTCAAACGTTAACCATCCCTTTTAAGGCTCTATTTTTCTTAATTACCAAAGCCAGCCAAATTCCTTAATGTCAAGCCCTACAAATTGACTGAACTGTGGGGGAGGTCATCCTCCACCTGTTTGCTTTGTATCATACCTAAATTAAGGTAGGTGGAGAATTTCCAGATTTCCTCCATTGTTTTGAAGGTGATAAGAAACTGGGCCCTCTGAGACTGGATGCTGACCAATCTTGCTGAGAGGTCCTATGTAAAGAAAACAATGAGTCAGCCTGGAATGACAGAAGTGTCCCATTAGCAAGCTCATGCATAAAACAAATGTTCTGTATAAACATCTTGATTATGGCATTGATTTTTGCATCACCAAAAAAAAAAAGAAACAACTTAAATATTTATTAAAAAAAGATTGGTTAAAATGGAGTACAATTTATCCAAAAAGTGAAATATTGTATTATACAGTCACAGAAAATAAGAAAGAAGCTCATTGTGTACTGATACAGGCTCCAGATATAACACTGCTCTACAGCAGCAGCAGTAAAAAGAAGCCAGGGAATAGAACTATGTGCAGAGAATGCTACTTTTTGTGTTGAGAAAAAAAAGTGTATGTGGGAGGATAGAGGACGATGCTTTTAAGATGATTCATAGAAGGCATCTTAAAAGCAAATTTGATTGTGAGTCTATGTCTAATGATGATTTTTATTATTATAAAGCTGAAAAAAAACCCGAAATGTGCAAAAATAAAATTCATCCCTAGTCCCTACTCCTAAAGATCATCAATGTTAACACCTTCATGTAATAACGTTGAATCTTTTTTCCTGCACAAGTTTCCGTGTAACTATGTCACATACATAGAATCACATTCCATAAATTATTTTTGCAATCTTCTTTTTTTTTTTTTTTTTTTTTGAGACGGAGTTTCGCTCTTGTTACCCAGGCTGGAGTGCAATGGCGCGATCTCGGCTCACCGCAACCTCCGCCTCCTGGGTTCAGGCAATTCTCCTGCCTCAGCCTCCTGAGTAGCTGGGATTACAGGCACGAGCCACCATGCCCAGCTAATTTTTTTTGTATTTTTAGTAGAGACGGGGTTTCACCATGTTGACCAGGATGGTCTCGATCTCTTGACCTTGTGATCCACCCGCCTCGGCCTCCCAAAGTGCTGGGATTACAGGCTTGAGCCACTGCACCCGGCTTATTTTTGCAATCTTCTTTTGCTGCTAAGCAATATTTCACAAAGCATCTTTCATATCATCATGTAGTTTATACCATTCTTTTTTTTTTTTTTTTTTTTTTGAGATGGAGTTTCACTCTTATTACCCAGGCTGGAGTGCAATGGCGTGATTTCGGCTCACCGCAACCTCCACCTCCTGGGTTCAGGCAATTCTCCTGCCTCAACCTCCTCAGTAGCTGGAATTACAGGCACATGCCACCATGCCCAGCTAATTTTTTGTATTTTTAGTAGAGACGGGGTTTCACCGTGTTGACCAGGATGGTCTCGATCTCTTGACCTCGTGATCCACTCGTCTGAGCCTACCAAAGTGCTGGGATTACAGGCTTGAACCACTGCACCCGGCCTATACCATTCTTAATGGTTACATATGGCATTGTTGCATTAACATAATGAAGTATTTCTCTATGGTTTCATGTTTGCATTGTTTTACATTATATATAATTGCACTTTAGGTTCTGGGGTACATGTGAAGAACATGCAGGATTGTTGAATAGGTACATACATGGCAATGTGATTTGCTGCCTCCATCCCTATCACCTGTATCTGGCATTTCTTCCCATGGTATCCCTCCCCAACTCCCTACCCAATGCTGTCCCTCCCCTAGTCCCCACCAACAGATCCCAGTGTGTGATGCTCCCCTCCCTGTGTCTATGTGTTCCCATTGTTCAACATCCACCTATGAGTGAGAACATGCAGTGTTTGATTTTCTGTTTTTGTGTCAGTTTGCTGAGAATGATGGTTTCCAGATTCATGGTGTGTATGTACTACATTTTCCCTGTCCAGTCTATCATCGATGGGCATTTGGGTTGGTTCCAGGTCTTTGGTATCGTAAACAGTGCCGCAATGAACATATATGTGCATATGTCTTTATAACAGAATGACTTATAATTTTTTGGATATATACCCAGTAATGGGATTGCTGGGTCAAATGGAATTTCTATTTCTAGGTCCTTGAGGAATTGCCACACTGTCTTCCACAACAGTTGAACTAATTTATACTCCCACCAACAGTGTAAAAGTGTTCCTATTTCCCACATCCTCTCCAGTACCTGTTGTCTCCTGATTTTTTAATGATCGCCATTCTAACTTGCATGAGATGGTATCTCAATGTAGTTTTGATTTGCATTTCTCTAATGACCAGTGATGATGAGCATTTTTTCATATGTTTGTTGGCCTCATATATGACTTCTTTTGAAAAGTATCTGTTCATATCCTTCACCCACTTTTGAATAGGTTTTTTGTTTTTTTTCTTGTAAATCTTTTTCAGTTCTTTGTAGATTCTGGACATTAGCCCTTTGTCAGATGGGTAGATCGCAAAATTTTTTTCCCATTCTGTTGGTTGCCAGTTTACTCTAAAGATTGTTTCTTTTGCTGTGCAGAAGCTCTGGAGTTGAGTTAAATCTCATTTGTCTGTTTTGGCTTTTGGTGTTTCCGCACTCCAGAGCTGCTCCTATTTGGCCATCTTGGATCCCTCTCTCTGTTTTACATTTTTTAATATCCTAAATGGTACTGTGAGCAAAATCTTTATAGCTAAATCTTTGTGCACATTCTTAATTGTTTTAACACAAGTAATTCTAAGAAGTACAATTGGAAATGCAAGGATATGCATATTTTTAATCATAAAATGCAGTCACCCAACTGTCCCCCAGAAAGGCATTCCAATTTACATGCTCACAAGGAGGGTGAGAGGAGGCCTGTGAGTCTCTTGGATCTTTATTTTAATACCAAAAAAAAAAAAAAAAAAAAAAACTGGTCTGAATCACTGCCCAGACTTAGTTTTCCCTTAAATCTCTGTTTCCTCAAGCTTCCAGAGTTGACTAGAACTAGTGATGGTCAGAGCATCCCTCTACCAGGCCAGGGCCTGTCATCAGTACCAACTCCTGAAGTCCTATCATGAGGGAAACTTAGAGGAAGAAGAAGATGGAAGAATCCAGAAGAAAAGCCCCAGTTCGGTAAAGTCAGAACTCTAGGGTTCCTTCTGCCATACCAGACCCCAGGAGGCCCCAGATGCCTGGAGGATGTCGAGCAAGGGGTGGTAGGTAAAAATCGACTTACAGAGAATTTACGACATGCCTGGCACTTCACCTAGAGCTTTATGACCAATATGTCATTTAACTTCCACAAAAGCGCCACAAAGAGAAGGCAATGACAGGATTTAGTCCATTCCAAAATGTGCTTTTGTCACATTTAACCACTTCTAAACTAAAAGATTAGGAAGTATGGCATCAACCTTAATTGGCAGCATTTGTTTTCTTTCTTGGAGGTACATAAAATAACAGTGCATTTTATAATCGATGGCATCTTAGATCTAATCAACCACATCGTTCTCCCCGTTGTATATTCAAGGAGGGCAAGGCACAGAGAGGTTAAATAAATTGTCCAACATCACCTTCAGGGAGTACGTTGTGGAGCCTTGATTAGATTTCTGATCTAGCTGACTTCAGGCCTCAACTTTAGCCCATAGCTTTGTCTGTCTCAAGCTTAAGCCCAGCAGACCAGCTCTCTCAATCAACCTTGCTCCTGTCATACCAAATGAGACTCAAAATAAAGGAAAACTACAGTTCTAACAGCAGCCAGTATCTCCAAGTTCCTGAATTCCAGGTATTTAAAAAATAAAATAAAATTCAAAAACCGGTAGCTACTACTTATGGAACACACATCACTGCCAAAAACAATGCCAAGCTCTCTGCAGATACAATCTCATTTTTCCCCCTGAAAAACCAGACACTATCTTTTTTTGCTGCATGACATTTAGACAACTTTTCTCCTTCAATTTTTACCAGATTCATGCAGAACCTGTAAAAAATAACTGGAACATATTAGTTTATTATGTAAAGTAATATTATGCTTTCCCTACCTCTAGTTGAAACAACTTTTTTCCATTTCTGACTTTCATTCTTCTACATAGTATGTCCTAAACTGTAAATAATTTGATCATATCCGTCTTCCTTGGTTTTAACAAATGAAGATATTATCCACCTACTATGAAAGATGAGAAATTGGTTTATTTACATTATTGCTTTTTCCTTCTCTAATCCAAATACTTATAAGGTATTTTTTTTTATTGGCAACCTTGGTACTTTAAAAATATATACTTAGTGGTTACCAGGAGGTGAGAGACAGGGATAGTGAGGATTTATTGTTCAATAGATATGGAATTTCAATTTGGGATGATGAAAAAGTTCTGGAGGTAGATAGGTTGTGAATGTACTTAGTGCCATAGTGAATTGTACACTTAAAAATTATTTAAATGGAAAATTTTATGTTACGTATATTGTATCACATATAAAAAAGAATTCAAAATTACCACATTAGAAAAGAAGCATACTTAATGAGTAGGTATTTTAATAATTCACATTCTATACAGATTAAGTAACTTGTCAAAGATCACACAACTAATAGATTTGAAACCAACTTTTCTCTGACTCAGCAACTCCAAGTTGCCCATTCAGAGTTCCTGCCCATTCCTCTCCACTCCTGTGCAGAGAATATGTATGCAGTCTTTCATTCATTCAGTCTGCCTATTAGATGTTTTCTCCGAGGGCCTACTTTGCTCCAGATGCTGTCTTAGCTGCTAGGGATCCTGTAGCAGACTGACACAAGTCAGTGTTCAGCATTCCCCTGTCTCCCCACGCTCACCTTAAACAACATGCGCACCTCTTGATCCTCATTCTCCAACGCCCAGAGCTGCCTCCGAGCAGCTTCCTGCAGGGGTCCATTTACACACCTCCTCGAGCGGCTCTTTACACAGAAGGAGAGTGTCAGGTCTTAAAGAGAACAGAGAGAGAAGGATCAGGCTGGAAATGGAATAAAAAGGAAGAAAGAGTTAGATAAACCCACAGTGTTTTCCCTCCACGTTTACCTGAACCCTCAACGGGTATCCTCATTAGTTACAGATTAAAGTGGTCTTAACACTCCTCAGAGCTCCCCTTTAAATTGTCCTTCCTAGAGGAAAAACATATACTGAACACAGGAGGGCTCTGGAATCGTAGGAGTTGATGCAGTCACATTGGTTATTTCTGCTTTGAACTGGGTTTATTTCCTACACTGTCTGGCACTAATGTAATGGTGTTGACACAGGATCAGCTAGGACATACATTGCTCCCTGTGAATAATGTATGAAAGTTTAGGATCAATAGGACTTTATTCATATTTAAGGAAATGTACTTATATGTCAAAGTTATATGTAATAGACATTTTGTGCATTACACAAAAATGCATGCATTTTCTGTAACCTGTTTTTTCTGATACTGCAATTATTAATGTTTGTCAGGGTAATTAGTTAGTGTATGAAAGTCTACCTTTAATTTCTCCAAAATGCACATTCATTTAACAGATACTTATTGAGAACCTCCTAGAAGCTAGAAGTTGTTTTATGGGCTCCTTAGCAGAGAACAAAACAGTCTTGATCTGATGGAGCTTGTATACTTCTTGGCAAGTGAGTAACTAGACAAGTAATTCTACAAACATAATAGTTTCAGATGGAGAAGAGTGCTATGAAAAAAAGTTAATGGGGTCTAGAGACAGAGAGATGGAGTGCTTGAAGTCAGGGGATGCCTTTGGATAGTACTGTCGAGAAAGGCCACATTGAGGAAGTTTATCGTATAATTGCACGTGCAATGTGTCTTCTTTAGACAGTAATTAGCAATGCTGTTAAGAATTATCCCACACAAAAAACCAAGAAGGCATTGGAATAGCTCATCACAGAGGTCTCACTCCCAGCCCCAACTTGCCAGGACCTTTGCAAATTCCTCAGCACACATCAGAGATGACCCCTATGATGCTGACCTGAGTCTACAAGGCAGCTGTGACTTCTACCTTTAAAAGACCTGTCTTCAGCCTAGAAGTTCTGAAAATGCTGTGGCTGCAAACAAGCTCTTCTATGACATTCCCAAATGACCTGACTTTGATATAAACTTCATGTGGGTGTTTGTTCTAGTCAGTTCCTCCTAGGCTTGTGCTCCAATCTCATGCAACCCCTTCTTCAGCACTCTGCATCCGTCCAGCCTTCCATCTGGTAGCCTCATGACATGCTGAGCTCTAGGAGGAGGCACAGTGCAAAGAGGAAGCCCCGGGAGGGGTCATGCAGGCTCCAGGTCAAGGCTTGACTATGCCCCTCGATAACTGTGCCACCCTAAACAATTAATCGCCTCTCTATGCATAACTTTTCCCATTAGCAAAATGGCTTTTACAGTACCTGTTCCACAGGAGTTTTAAGATGATTATTAGGCTGGGCACAGTGGCTCATGCCTGTAATCCTGGCAGTTTGGGAGGTCAAGGGAGGAGGAGAGCTTGAGCTTTAGAGTTCAAGACCAGCCTGGGCAACATGGCAAAACCCTGTCTTCTGACTGCGCCCCCCCCAAAAAAAATACACACACACACACACACACACACACACACACACACACACACACAGTAGCCAGATATGGTGGCCTGGGCATGGTGGTGCACACCTGTAGCCCAGTTACTTGGAGGCTGAGATAGGATGGCTTGAGCACAGGAGGCTGCGATCACAGTGAGTCAACATCACACCACTGCACTCCAGTCTGGGAAATGGAGCAAGACCCTGCCTCCAAAAAAAATGCTTCCTAATAAGATCATGCATATAAATCCTTTTGGTCAGTGCCTGGTGCGTGTTAAATATTCAGTAAACACATTAAGCACTAGCTGTTGCCCCTGCTCACCTCCCCTCACCAGCAAGTACTGCTCATGGCTGGCTGCTTTCAGGTGATCATACCTATGAGCCTTGGCAATAACTGATTCTGTGATTTATTTCTACCAAACCCATCTCATCCATCCTTCCAAAACCTGATCCAAAATCCCTGTTCAAACCTCTTAGAATAGCCCCTGCTGCCTAACAAACAGGGCCTTTGGTGTGAATCTCCTTGCACTGCCCATGAATCCATGTGTATGGAGCTCAAAAGACCTGGACTTAAAGATCTCAACCGTGAGAACTGATACTTAAAGCAGAAACTCGGTGCCCACAGTGGGGTCCTGCAGTGCCCTCTGCATCACTAAAGCAGGGAGGATGTCAAGCTCTATACAGTTTTCAGGAAATGTATTGTGTCACAGATGAATCCTTCTCAAAGTCAGTTCTGTAATTGTGATAATATGTCTGACTGATTCTGTCTGCAACTGCCTTAAGGAGAGGTTGGCAGCTATAGCCATCTCCTCTTCTCACTCCGTGACCTTCCTGGAAACAGCATCAGGGTGGAAAATGCTGAAAGATGGACAAGTTCAGCCTGAGGTCAGTTCAGTTTTACCTACAGATACCCTTTGTTCACTGGCCTTCATGCGCCAATAAGGCAAAATGCTAACCTTACAGCATTCATGAAACAACAGATGGTAATTCAGGTTTTTCCAAGGGTGGTCCAAGCTGACAGACAGATAAGCCGATTGACACAATATCAAGAAACAAAGGGCAAAGTTTTTCTCATTGTCAACCAAGAAGTTGGACAGAATTTGAAACTGGGCCCATGGCCATACCACCCTGAACATGCTCCATCTCGTCTGAAATTGGGAAAAGAAAGAACCCCGTATGACATGCATGCAATATCTATTTACATGGTCCAGATCCTTTACATATTTCTAATCTTTTTCCCAAGTCTATATTTTGTATTACAGGGAGAGCTATATTTATGGAGGGTAAAGGAACATCATGGTTTTGAACGAGGCCCTTCCTGATCATATGTCAACTGTCTCATGATGAAGTCATTTTCCTCTCTGAGACTGTTTCCCGTCAGCTAAATGGAGATTTGTGCACTTCCACCTAGCGATGAGCATGCAAAAATGGGAAAAACATGTGAGGATCACTTGGCATGCAAATTGCCCTCTAAAATGGTCCCATCTGCTGTATAGCAGAAATCAAGGTGTCTACAGGTTTGTCCTCAGAGTTCAGCACAGGGGCACCTTTCCCCTGATGACAATTTTCTCTTTGCAGGCATCATTAATGTCTTGTAAAGGGGATTTTGTGAGAGATGTGTATTAAGAATAAGATTTTCTTTCACATTAATTTCAAAACATTTTCTGCTTCTGCAAGATTTATGCAGTTGCCCTTCTGCTCAAGCTAATCTCACTTCACATATTCATTTAGTTATTCATTTATTTAATAAATATTCACTCACAGCCTACTATATATAAAGTACTATGTTGGGTATCATATAACATGTAAAAGTGACTTCCACGTACTCATTTGACCATTCATGTGTTCATCTGTTTACTTATTCTGAGGCAGCCTCAACCTCCCAGGCTCAGGCAGTCCTCCCACCTCACCCTCTCAAACAGCTGGGACTGCAGGTGTATGCCACTACGTCTGGTTAATTTTTTGATTTTTTTAGAGATGAGGTCTCACCATGTTGCCCAGGCTGGGCCCCAACTCCTGAGCTCAAGTGATCTCCCATCTCAACCTCCGAAAGTTCAGGGATTACAGGCATGAGCCACCCCATGCAGCCCATTTATTTATTTATTAAACATATTCTGAGCACCAATAATGTAAGAACAACTCTTTGAGGTACCATGTTGAATATAAATATTTTTAATTACCCCTATGTCTCAACACCTTCAAATCTAATTTGTGACATACTTTCTTAACAAAGTAAATAAGTATGGAGCTCCTAGTAAGTGCCAGATTGTGACGAGCTTTGAGTGACAGTTTGAGAAAGTTAAAATTAATCTTGTAGGCAATAGAGTGCAACAGAAGATTTGTGAACAATCAAATAGCATAGTCAAAATATTTTCATCAAGAGGGAAAGAGGGAAGTGGCTCTTCAGATGGCAGGGATAAAGAGGTTATTGCAATATTTGACATGGAAGAATAGGGCTTGTCTTTGGGATTTGGATACCTGGATTCATGTCCTGTGGCAGAAAACATTTTTTCTTGTATTCAGATGAAGCTATACACTCACTCGAAACAGTTGGATCCTTGGAAGGAGTTTCTTTACCTGGAGAAGATGAAATAAAAGGTCATTTGTAGAGTGTAAGGAAGTTGAAAACAAGTTATAAGCAAGGCTGTAGTTTTTGTCAAGTGACAACTTTTTTTCCAGGATTGGTGGCATAGAAGAATACTAATTGTTATCACCATGCTATCTCAATCCAGCAGCAGTCTGGGTATGCTCATCTTATTAAAAAAAAGCAGATCTCCATTCACATATCAAACTGAGTCTCATGGCTTAGAACACTGAAGGTGCTCAATATACACTGAGCCTACGCAGGTCGTCACAGGTCTGACTACAGCAAGGCTTAAGGTTCAGTGGGGGTAAATAACCCCAGCAGTTTGGGAGGTCAAAGGAGGGAAGGGCTGGAGTGGAGACAGACACTGGCATCATTAGGGAGATAACTGGAGTGTGGTTGTAATGGCCCTGAAATGTATGATTATCCCCAGCTGTCCTTCTGTCTGCCCATTAAACAGGATCCTGTCAGGCGTCTCTTTCTTTCCAGCTCTGAAAAGCTACTGTCTTCACCACTGTAGAAGTGGAGTGAAACGGAGAAGAAAGAAGATCAAGACACAGGCTAGAGCTGGGAAGGAGAAAACTTGGATGGCAGAGAGTTGAAAAGAAAGAAGATAGTACAGCTATAATGCATAATGAAGTAGATACAGAGGGAAATGTCAGAAACCTTTGCTGTAGAACATGGGTCTCCTTTATGTCATCCCCAAAGTACAACAAGGAAGCTCAAGTCCTTCACCCATTAATTTTGGGTGTTGGATTCTGTCTCTTTTTCCACAAAACTGTCCAAGAACTGTACCATGCAGTCAGAATGTCATAAGCATTACCTGGTCCTGAAAAGCAGAGTTAGGGAATCTTGACTCAACCACTACTCGTGTGTCACTCATTTAATTTGCTTACAGAATTGTGCATCAGAGGCAAAAATGCCTACCAAGTGTTGTAACCTGGATCTGTGCTTCCAATGATACAGCCTAACAATGTAACATAGGTGAAGCAGTTACACTCACTTCTGGTTAATGTTAAACCTAAATGCTCATATTGCTGATAATAGCCTGTGTCTCCATTCAGTGCCTATGGAGGGAGATTTTGACACCAAAGTTGAGGACCTTCCATTTTTTCACTGTGGGAGCAATTAGCACTGGTTTTGTGTGATGTACAGGAAGAATGAAGTGGATTTCAGCTTGAAAACGTAGAAGCAGGGGCCCAGCAGCTCTTCATCCAGTAAATCTTGTTAGCTGTTCAATGCTGAAAGCTAAGCAGCTTAGCTGGAAACCTGGCAGCAATGAGCTATATTCGAACAGGATCATTTTTCAGTTCTGCCCTGAGGAACCAAAAGCAACTGCAGAAAAAAAGGCACTGGCTTGGGAATAATGAGAAATGAGAATGAGCACAAATCAAATCTTCCCATACATGAGTTCAGGGAGCTTGGGCAAGATACTTCACCTGTCCATTTTGTGCGTTTTCACTTTCCCCACTTATAAATGAAAGACTGATCTAAATTAGTGCTTTTGAACCCCAGCTGCCTATTTGAATCATCCAGGTTGCCTTTTAAAAATATTGTTTCATCCCTAGAGGCTCAAATTTATAGATTTTTTTAAATAAGTTCTTCAAAAGATTCTATCTAATTTGAGCCAGTGTCGAGAACCATATGTCTACACTGATGTTTCTGAAACTTTATTGTACCTATGAATCACCTATGGTGATAAATAATGATATTGACAGCATTTCTGATGTGTTCACAGGTGATTCTCCTCCTGCTGTTCCCAGGACCACACTTGGAGTGGCAGCCTGCTTCCCTGGGACAAAGTTTGACCATAGACTACAGCAAATCCACAAATATCCTCTTTATTTTTTTCAGGGCCACACAGTGAATTTTTAATTTGAACTGCTTGACATCATTCAGAAATTGACATGTTTCACATAACCCAGATGCTTGGATTTGTTTTGAAATGTGGCAGATCTGTAGCCCAGGCATCTCATTGTCATATGACAACAGTGAGCTGGGGCTGAGTGGTTGCTGTTCCTCTACAGGGCATTTGTTCTCCAGCCACCATGGTCCCCACCCTATTCCATCACTCATTTATACCTGGCCCTGGCAAGTTTGCAAGTGTATCCCTGCTGTAGACTTCTCTGAGAAAATACAACAGCCTGACAATAAGGGCTTATGAGGTGAGCCCACCTTGAAGAAGGGAAGTCAAGGATGGAGACCTTAGCTTGGGGAAAGGGTTTTTAAGCTTTTTAAGGATTTGTGAGGATTAGAGCAGAAAATTGCAAGGTTTTACAAAATGTGACTTGTGGATGTCTGTATCAGAATTTTTTAGATAATTGTTTTTAAAAAGATATCTATACAAAAAAAAACTTATAGAAAATATAGAAAAATATCTACTTGTTGTTGCCAGTGATTTCCTAAAGAGGGTGGAAAAAGTGCTACCCTCAAAAGGAATAATGGTTAAATTGTAATACATTAAAATTAGAAACTTCTATTAATCAAAAGAAGCAATTAAGAGACTGAAAAGCAAGTGACAGAGTACAAGAAAATATTGACCATATATACGTATGGTCATCAAATAACTAAAACATAGAACATATAAGGAATGCCAAAAATCTTTGAGAAATAGTCCACCAGAAAAATGGGCAAAAGTCTCGAATATGCTTTTCACCAAAGACGATATTCAAACAGGTAATAAATACATGAAAATTTGTTTTACCTCATTAGGGAAATGAAAATTAAAACCACAATGGAACACAACTACACAGACTGGCTAAAATAAAACACAGATAAAGTCAAGTGTTTGTGAGGATATAGAGCAACTAGAATACCCATATTCTGCAAGTGTGAGAATAAACTGAAGTTCTATCTTTGGAAAGCTGACAGTGTCAATTCAAGCTAAAAATATGCATGCACTAAGACCAAAAGACATCCACTAAAATATTAGGAGCAGCACTATCTATAAGAACCCAAACCTGGCTGCAATTCAAATGTCAGTCTACCTAGAATGAACAAGTAAATGATGTATATATAACATATAATTAAATCTAATACAGCAAGCCAGGCGTGGTGGCACATGGCTACCATCTCAGCTACTTGGGAGGCTGAGGCTAGAGGATCATTTCAGCCCAGGAGTTCAAGCCCAGCCCAGGCAACGTAGCAAGACCCATCCCAAAAGAATTAATTAAATAAATAAATCCAACACAACAATGAGAATAAATGAATTACAACTTTATAAAACAATATCGATAAGTATATTCACTTGTGAAAAGTCACCACACTGTACACATGATTTCAGGCACAATTCTATATAAATGGTAATTTTAAATCCTCTTAAAGCCTTTACTGACCTCAACATTCTTTTTTAAACTTTTATTTTAGGTTTTGGGGTACATGTGAAGGTTTGGTACCTAGGTAAACTTCTGTCATGGAGGTTTGTTATACAGATTATTTAATCACCCAGGTGTTAAGCTCAGTACGTAATAGTTATCTTTTCTGCTCCTCTCCCTCCTTTCACCCTTCACTGTCAAGTAGACCCTAGTGTTTTTTGTTTTCTTCTTTTTGTTCATAAGTTCTCATCATTTATCTCCCACCTATAAGTGAGGACATGTGGTATTTGGTTTTCTGTTCCTGAATTAGTTTGCTAGGAATAATGGCCTCGAGCTCCATCTATGTCCTGTGAAAGACATACTCTCATTCCTTTTTATAGCTGCATAGTATTTTACGGTGTATATGTGTTAGTGGTAAATTTTTATGAAAAGCTGATTTTTTAAAATATTCCTGGAGCCCCTCTCTATCTACTCTATCTTGGAATATCTAGTGGTAGAGCCCTAAGGTGTGCATTTTTAATTAGCACTTTGGATATTTCTGATGTCTTCTGGAATGTGAGAATGCTCAAGCCATTTCACCAGAGGCCTTGGATCCCATGAGCCAGAAGGGCAGCTCTTGGAGAAACAATAAGGAAAATTAGAATGTATTCTATAATAGGAAAAACACCAATAGTTACACATGGTTTGACTGTTCACATAATTCTTTTACATGTGGAGTAATGTGTGTTTCAAACATGAAGAAGTTTGAAAACTTGAGCTGGGCCATGATAAAGAATCAGAGATGATTCAAGGCAACAAAAAATTGTCATATAGAATAAATTACCTTAGAAAAAAATAACTGAAAGAAACGAAAATGTCTATGGTAGTTATTGCTGAGTCATTTTAACAATCTTTTTGATAGTTTTCATCTACTTTCCAATGTTCTATTTTTTCTTTTTTGTAGTCACATTTAAATATTATTTTACTGAAATATCAAATTTTGAAAGATAAAGGTTTTGTATATTAAAGATGATAAACAACACAATCTACTAACAATACAGGCTGCTGATTAATCATTGTTTTAATGTTAATAATTTACTATTTAAATTCCAGCTTTGACAATTGGCCTAGTAATATCAGTAATATTCTTTATATTATATTTTCTTCTTCAGTATAGAATGCAGTCTAGGGTCAAGTATCACATTTAGTTGTTAAATATCTTTAGCCTCCTTTCACGTGGAACATTTCCATATACTTTTTTTAATGACGTTTTTTTTCTCTGATGACATTAACATTTTTGAATGATGAAGTCCCTCCTCCACGCTTCTTTTAGTTTTTCTTCAACTTTTATTTTAAGTTCAGGGTTGCATGTGCAGGATGTGCAGTTTTGTTATATAGGTAAACGTGTGCGTGGTGATTTGCTGCACGGATCATCCCATCACCTAGGTATTTAGCCCAGCATCCATTTATTATCTATTTAAAAATGTGGAACACTTCACAGATTTGCATGTCATCCTTGCACAGGGGTCATGCTAATCTTCTCTGTATCTTTCCAATTTTAGCATATGTGCTACCAAAGCAAGCGCTCTATTTTTCACATATTCTGTAATCAGCATGCATTTGTTTTCTAACACTGAAGGCAGGTAGAGAAGTGGCTAAAGATATGCAGCAATCAGACAGTCCTGGACTCAAACCCTGGATTCATCATTAGCCGTGTGACCCATGAGAACCCAGTCTATGTGGAGGTGACTCTCTCCCTAGCTCCAAAAGTGAGTACATGATTCAGGCATAATCCAAATGGGTTATGCAGTGCCATGGCCACATGATCAAAGTTAAGCCAATGGGAATTAGTTCCAGGACCCTCATCAGTACACTTAGTGAAGAGATTTCTTTTCACTGCACCAGAAACTATGAATACAATAGCCTGGAGCTGTGGTGCCCACCACAAAGAGAAAGCCCATTTGACGTTGAGTCCAGCTCACACAAACAGAGCTTAGGAAAGATAGCTTTCTGATAATATCATCTGAACACCTTGATTTAGCAATATCTGAAGAAAAAAACTTGGACTTTCAGTTATTAATCAACAAATTGCTTTTAATATAAGCTAGTTTTATTTTTATTATTATTGATCAGAAAAAGTTACTAACACTCAATTCAGAAAACCATTGAGATTTGTTTGTAAACTGTCAAACTGGTTTCCAAAGAGGTTATAACATTTCGTATTCCTACCAGCAGTGTGTGAGTTCTGTTGTTCCACATCCTCACTAACACTTGATATTATCCGTCTTTTAAATTTGAGCCATTCTAAGTAGGTATGCCATTTTATCAGGTTGTTTCCATTTGCATTTCCTTAATGATTTATGACATTAATCATTTTTTCACATGCTTATTAGTCATCCATATATTTTTTATACGAAAGCGTCCATTCCAACATTTTGCAATTGTTATCAGGTTATTTATCTTACCATCACTGAGTTGTAAGAGCTTTTTTATTAATATACTTGTTCTGAATATGATTCCCCAGTTGATGGCTTGCTTTTTATGTTCTTGGCAGATGTATTTAAGTGGGAGGAAAACAGGATAGGGTGGGAATGAGCTTTGTACACACATGGGATGGTAGAAGCCACCCTGCACATGGCAGGGAGATGGGTGGTTGTGGGACCAAAATGGATAAGTATGGTAGGGTCAAGATGGGGGAGTACTTTAAGGCAGGCAGGTGCATTTAGAATGGATACAGTAAGCAATGGGGAGATGTGAAATGTTCTTGAGTATGGGAATGGTATAACAAAAGTAAAAAAGTTCTACTTGGGATAGCATGGGAAGGAGCAAGAGAAAAAAACACAATAGTCAGGGAGACCAGCTGAAAAGGTGCTATGAAGATCCAGGGATGTGAGTGCCAGAATGTGGGCTGTGATCCTGGCAATGAGAAGTGGGGGCATATAGTGAATGAGGCTGTATTTTAAAACAAGAAAAGAGAAGGCATCTTTGCATATTAAATATGAGGGATAAAGGTGGGGAAGAGGCAAGAATTGCAGAAAATTAATGAAGGAAGGAATTTAAAAGATCACCTAGTTCCACTCCCAATTTTACTGTTGAGAAACTAAGGCCCAGAGAGGAGTCAGGATTTTACTGAGATCACACAGCAAGTTAGCAAAAGAGCCAGAGGCCATCCAAATCAATGGATACAGACCTTACCGTTTTCCCTACATTAACCTGACCTCAGAACTCTAAAGTCTCAGGCCTCTGATCAGGGAAACATCTTAGAACAGCTTGCTGAAAATGAGAATTCACCTTCATTTCTCCTCTCTCAATCTCTCTTTGCTCCTACAAACCCACCACCGTGCTCAACTTTAAACAGAAGATTAAACAATAAACATTTCTCTGCATTTTTTTCCTCTACCCACATTTTTTTTTCTTTTTTGACCCAACAATCCTACCATCAGCAGTTTTTAATGATGTAAACCCACTTTCTCCTTGTTGGGAGGAATAGCATATTAGAACTACAGCTACATCTATCCACATGAATATATCTTAGATCATAATATTTAGCAAAAAAAAAAAAGTTGCATTATGATATCATTTTGTCTAAGTTTTAAAGTCTGCAAAACAATTCTTTGTAATGATTGTGAGTTCATGAATATGTAGTAAAAGCACATAACTACTGAATTCATGAAAGTGATTATGTGGAGAGAGAAGGGGAATGAGATTGGAAAGAGATATCCAGGAGCCCCTAAGTACACTTGTGATGTTTTATTTCCTCAAAAAGTAAGAGAAAGAAAAAAGTAAAGTTATAAAGATACCATGGCATAATGCAAAAATTTGTTACAGCTAGATGGTGGTATAATTATTCTAATATTCTCTATTATCAGTATGTTTCAAATGCTTTACATCTCTTTTAAAATTCAAAAGTGAAGCATCATTTACTATTATCAGCGTTCACCCTTGATCAACAGAGGCAAATGTATCTCTTCCACATCTTCTGTTTAAGGGCGTAAATCTGCCAAATTTCTTCAAACAAGTATTGAAAATAAGGGAGAAATACTAGAAGCTTTTCAATCAACAAACTGTGACATGACTTTCTCTGTGATCCAAAGTGAGCAACTCTAACAATGGCAAGAAAAACTCATAGATAGGGTGGGGAGGTCAGAGATGATAGGAACTTATCAGAACCTATCCTCTCACCATGTGCCATCAGGAGACTTCTGTGAGCCATCCCAGGGAACAGATGCTGCAGGCAGAGTCCACATGTAAGAATGCAGCTGCCTGGAGTAGTCAGAGTCAACGTTCATTATTGCATTACTCCCTGCAAACCAGCCTGCCAGCTGTCCAGTACTCAATGCTATCAAGAGCCTTCTCTTTTCCTGCACCCCTTAGCCCTGAGGACTCACTGTTTGTTCTCCGCTGCTAACTCCCACTTAAATAGACACAAAGTAGAAGCAGTCAGCCTGGGAAACATGAACATGGACTTCTCCAGGCCAGTACAGAATTAGGAGGAGGTGATGTGGGAGTGGTCCATATTAACTAACGATAAAACAGTCCATAGTTACCAAAGGGTTATCAAAAGCCAGACCCTGTGAGATGTTCATGAGATGAATTATTCAATTTAATGCTCACAAAAGTTCCATGGAATAAGTACCACCACTAGATGCAGTTTGCAGCCAGGAAAACAGGCTCTAAAAACACGAGAGACTTACTTAGGGTCATACAACTATTAGGTTGCTCCAGGATGGATCTCACACTTTGTTCCTAAAAAAGGAATGAAGTATCTCTAGGATAAATGGGGGAATCTGGAATGGGAATATCCAGATCAACTGGACTTGGACCTACAACACCCATATCAACCTCACTAGGAAAAGGGCCTGGCACATCCGGGGAAGAATATGGAGGAATGGCATGAAAAGTCTCAAGGGAGATACACAGAAGACTGATTGCTGGTAAAAAGAAGAATCTGGAGTGACAGTCCATAATTAATGGCAAAAAGAAGGTGAAAAAATAAAGTAATTGAATGATAGTTTTATTAAGATTTTGACCTTTGTCGCTATTTTGTGTGTTTGTTTTGAGCTCTGTAATTGTTCTACAGGAAATCTTTGGTTGACTGACAGATGTCAAATAAAAGTAGAGCCGTTCCAGGTAGGGATGAGAGGGAACAGGAGCAGAGCTCCCTGAGACACCTCTACACAGCAGTTTACAACCCTAAAATTGTATAGATGACCAAATGGTGGCCCAGAGAGAGAGATATACTAGGGTCATCAAAATGGAGTTAACAATGGTTAATTTTATTGTGCTTAACTGTGCACCAGGCTGTTTCACATGTAGATTTAATCCCAACCACAACTCTGTGAAGAAGACACAATCATTTCATAAAAGCTGCAGATAGGGAAACGTAAACACAGAGAAGTTAAATAAGTTGTCAAGGCGAGTAAAAGAACCGAGATCAAATCCAGACACTTTGGCCTCAAAGACCAGGTGAGTAGCCAAGATGATACCTGCCTAACTAGAGCAAGACGAAGTCAGATCTAGAACCCCGATCCCTGACTTCCAGGCCAGTCATCCTGTATGTCTCCCTCCATGATGTTTCTGCTCCTACGGGGCACAATGACAATAGGACTTAGGGGGAGGGACTGAAAAGTGTTTACATCTGAGAAATCTGGCAGTGCAAAATGGTTCATAGCTAAAGTCATGCCTGTTGTGCCAAGGGCATCGTTTGGGGTTTGTTTCGCTTCTAGTTTTAGGCCCAAGGGCTGCCTTTTTCCGGGAGGCACTCCTTGCTGTAGGTGCCAAGGTGCCTAGGCCAAGACTTCAAGCAGAAGAAGCAGAATATGGTTGCTTGGTTCACTTTAAGGACCTCGAGTGCCTTCTACAAGCCCAAATCATAAGACTACAGAAGAAAGTTGTCTGTCAGAGAGTAGAAAGCCCTTCGCTAGGGGATGCTCCTTGGCTCCTCCTCTCAGGAACCATGGCGGCGCTCCAAGGAAGACACAGAGTTCTGACAAGGGTTAAGAATGATTCCTTGGAGCAATGTTCCCCTACCTCCCAAGCAAGTCTCCCTCCCCCACTTTATCCCCACATTTCCCCAAAGCCACCACTCTTCTTGATAAACACCACACAAGAGAACACAAGGCCCCACCTTGATTCTCTTTCTAAAAAAAAGCAAGAAGGTTGTTTCAGGGAGACCAACCAGCCTGGTTGGCCTGGAACTGACATATCCCAGCAAATTCCTCAGTCCCACACAAACCAGAATGGCTGGTCACCCTAAGTCACTCTCCCATGACTGGACAATTTCTTAGAGCAACACCTCTCCATTGCCTCAACTTGAAGCACATTCACACACACGAACACACACAAATCACACTGGAAGAGATGGAGGCAGGAAACTGCCTGTTTTTCTCATGTAACAGCAACCCTGACAAAAATAGGCTTGAGTGACTAAGGCCAAGTTTATGACCACCCATAGGCCACAGAGGAACTCACAGCCTGAACTTTCTTCCTGTCCTGGCGAATCTCGGGAAAAAAGGAAGGAAAGCCTTAGTCACACCCTGGGAGTGGCAGCCAGGAGCAGTGCTGCTCAGCTCCTGAGAGAATGAGCTCAAAGCCTCTTTCTTCAGGAAAAAATAGATGTTTCCAGGCTTTACTCCCTTTTTACAGAGCCAGCATGACAAACACTTATCCAGGGAGGAAGGAAAGGCAGCGAGAAAGCACAGTCATCTCCCCATCTTTGGGAGAAAATTTCCCCAACCCAGCAGGTCCCTGAGCCTCCACTGGACCATCCACCTCGGCCAAGCCACAGGCCAAGGGCCCCCTGGGAAACTCACCTGGGCCCCAGGTCAGACTCCGCTCCCCGGGGATGCAGAAGCAGCCACCCATGTGTGTACCATCCTACCCTGGCCGAGGCCCTTGGGAACACCAGCCAGAAAAGTGCTGCAAGGGACAGCCTCCCAACGGTGTCCCTCCTCCCGCCTCCTCCCTGGCACACGAGGGACCGAGGCTTGCTCAATGCACAATGCAGCCTTTGATATCCTGGCTACAGCAGGAGGCCCAGGGAGGGTGGGAGGGGCGGCCAAGCCCAGCCTGCAGGCCCACAGCTCTTGCACCGTCAGGCCTGGGGAACAGGGCTCCTCCCTGCCTCTCAGCAGATCGCTTCTTGCCTATCGGCCTGCAGCACATTCCTCGCATTCTAGGATTGAGATACACAGTTTGCTTCTTGTGGGGGCAGCCAGGGCGGGGGAGGAGGGCAGAGAACATCCCAGAGATCAAGACTGCTGTACTTGCTCCCTTCCTGACTGACTTGGCCCACATGACTGGCCTGCAACCCCTTTAAAGTGATCTCCACCCAGCCTCTCTCTGCAAAGGCTCTCTGATAAAGTTAGAGCTGTGGGTGCAGCATTTCACTACAATCTAGCAGCATCAATGAGCCCGCTCCTCACTGGTGAACCTGCAAAGCTCCAGCTGCTGGTGTGCAGGAAGAGAATCCAGGAAATCATCTAATTAAGTCCAGCATTTTACAGGTGAGGGGATGAAAAACCAACTATATCAAAGAACCGGGAGAGGTTGGTCAACAGGTACAAAGTTAGGGTTACGTAGGAGGAATAAGTTCTAATGTTCTATTACACAGGAGGGGGACTATAGTTTATAATGTGTCGTGTATTTCAACATAGAAGAGAGGATTTTGAATGTTCTCACCACAAAAATAAAAATGATGTTTGAGATAACGGATATGCTAATTACTTTTATTTGATCATTACGCGACATATGGATATATTGAAACAACACACTCTAGCCCATAAATGTGTACAATGATCATGTGTCAATTAAAAAAAGAACTAAAAAAAAAAAATACAGCAAGACTACAGATATGCATGCAAAACCTGTCCCGCCAGACTAATCTCATTCCTGTTTCACATAGGCAGTGGAGCAGGAGAATGCAGTTGACACAGTGTGGCTAAATTTCAGAAAACCTCTCATGAGATCTTGCAAAGGCGATGGAGAAAATATGGCTGAATGCCAGCAAGGATGGACGAAAGCATGACCGCTCTAACCACGGAGCTCAAAGAGCACTGCTCACCCAATGTTTTCTTCATGCCTAGAACAAAGTGGTGAGAGGATCCTGGTGAGAGGCCCAAAGAAGAGGAGGCGTGAGCCAAGAGCAGGTGGGGTCCTGCTGGGCCTGTGTTGCAGGCTATTTAGAGGCTGAACTTGTGGTCAGTATCACCAGCATTTTAAGGAGAGCAGTGGTCTGATCAAGTTTATATTCTGAGAGGAGCACTTGTATGACCAGGCAAAGAATGGCCTAGGGGTCAGTCCCACTGAAGAAGTCAGGAGTATCCACTACATGCACCAGCCCAGACACAGAGGAAAGGGTCTCAAGCCTGACTCTGAAACTTTGCTGACCATCTCCATGCTGACTCATCCTGAGTCTTCAGAAAGCAACCACTTAAAACTGGTATGTATGGTTACTGAATGTTTACTGTGGGTCAGGCTCTCACTATACATTACTTCATTTAAATCCCATAACAGCCCCATTATGTAGGCATCATTTCTACTTTGTAAGTGAGGAAACGGAGAAAGGGAAGTGTATAACTTGTCCAACACCCTCCCTTCTCCCACCATTTATGAGTGCTCAAGACTGAGCCAGGTCTAGTTGATTCCACAGCCCAGAAGGATCATGTTTCTGATATATGGGATACATTGCATGTTTTTCCATGACTACTAGGACACACAGTGAGGAAGGCCTAGGTAGGACTAAAATCGCTGGAGCCAGCTAACCATTTATGGAAAGCCCAGGAGATGAGAGCTGAGGCGGGGAGTAGAGTGCAGGAGGGATGGGGTCTCTCTGATCACATTGTCACCAAAGAGGATGTTTTCTCTGTGCAGATTTATTTAAAGTATCTACTTCCCATGTGGTCTCTCAGGTGTTTCCCTTACTGAAGCAGAGTGTTTTTGAGTATGAATTAAAATGTTTTCTTGGGCCTCCAATGAAAGGAGAAGGGTTCCTTTAGAAAGCAGTCACTTAAAACTGGGATGCACATGAAAATCAGACAGTGATGAGAAGCCCCAGGTTCTAACTTACACATGCTGACAAATGTGCAGACTTGTCATTGCTCCTTGACTGGTCTGCACAGCACTCTTAACACAGGTGCAACAATCAGACTATGAATGATCAAAACCAACCATTGGACGGATCCCGGGCCATCTGTCATAGATGACACCCTAGACAGTTGGCTGAGACACACACTGCAGCAAGTCGTAAATGAATAGTCCATTCTGGATGAAGTCATTGCTTCCCTTGAGATGCAAGAAACTAGTGCTCTTCTGCTCCTGGGTAGCCTGATGAATTTATTAGAGCAAAGAGATGTCCAGGCAGGAGCAAAGGCCCTGAAGTAGGAACTTGCTTATCATGTTAAAGGAAGTGTGGCTGAAGGCTAGTGAGGCGGCGGAGCGGGCACAGAGATGAAGTCAGAGAAAGCAGCAGAAGAAAGCACTGATACATGGGACACATTGTGTGTCCTCCCATGACTACTAGGACATACAATGAGGAAGGTCTAGGAAGGACTGAACTCTCTGGAGCCAGCTAACTATTTATGCAAAGCCCAGGAGATAAGAGCTGAGGTGGGGAGTGGGATGCAGGAGGGATGGGTCTCTCTGATCATGTTGCCACCAGAGATGATACAGTGTAGGGCCTTGGAGGTCATCTAAGGACTTCAGCTTTTATTCTGAATAAGGTAAGAGCCAATGAAGGACACTAAAAAGAAGAGTAACATGCCTGATTTATGGTTTTAAAGGGCCAGTCTGGCTGTCCCACGGAAAATAGGCTATAGATGGAACTCCAGATATGCAACAATTGTAACATCCAGCAGGGAGATGATGATGTCTTGAACCAAAGTGATATTGGTAGAGGTGATGAAAAGGGCTCAGATATTAGACATATTTTGAAATAATGGTATATTAGTCAAGGTACTCAAGAGAAACAGGATCAATAAAAGTTGATACAGATAGAGAAAGGGAGAGAAAAAAAAATTAACTGATTGGCTTCTGTAACTGTGAGGGTTGGCAAATCTGAAATCCACAGGGCAGGCCAGCAGACTGGAAACTCAAGTAAGAGTTGCTATTGCAGTCTTTAGTCCAAATTCCACAGAGCAGCAGACTAGAAACTCACACAAGTTTCCCGTGTTGCAGTTAAGAATTCTTGAGAAGAATTTCATCTTTTTCAGGAATCTTCATGTGTTGATACATTGAATGTATGAGAGGGGGGAAAAAATCTACTCTAGAGTAGTTCTAACATTTTTACCTGAAAAACTGAAATAATTTAATATTTATTAAAATATTAAATTCTAGGATAAAAGAAGCTTTGTGAATTGAAACCAGAAGTTTGGCTTCGTATATGTGATATTTAATAGTCCTTTAGTACACCCAAGCAAATGTAGGCACAGCAATCTGGAGTTCACGGAGAAGTTAAAAGCTGAAGGTAAGTATTTGGGAGTTGTCACTGTGTAGAGGGTATGTAAAGTTAGAAGACCAAATAAGATCTCCTAAGGGAGAAAGTAGAGGATAGAATAGAGAGGACATATCAAGAATGAGCCCTACAAGCATACCAATTTTTATATGAATAAGAAAGGGGTACAAAACCAGCAAAAGAGAGAGAGACTGGCCAGTGAGAGGATGTGCACCAAGGGCATAAGATGCTACAGAATTCAAGTGAAGAAAGTATTTCAAGAGCAGAAGGTGATTATGCCAAAGGCTGCTAATAAGTAAGATGCAGACAGAGAACGTACCACTGGACACCTTGGAGCCGTGGACGTAAGGCAAGATTGGGAAAGCCTCAGGAGTATATGGTTAAAAAAAAAAGTGGAGCTCCAACCCACCTTCAGCTCCCCACCATCATTGTCATTGCCATCATTATGGAATACCTTTTGTTTTCTTGATATTTGCTTGGTGTTCAGGGGTTGCAAACTCATATGTCTGTAAGAGACAGGCAGCTGATGGAAATGAGTGAGCTGTCCAGGAGACAAGTGGCAGCTGATCCCATCATAACTGCCTGATGGATTCTTTCTGCCTGCTACAAAAACAAAACCAGTTCATTGAGACAGGGGTATTGCAGCAAAGAAAACCTTTGATTAACGTGAGACCAGCCATGCAGAAGAACCAAGGTTATCACTCCAGTCAATCTCCCCGAAGACTCAGAGTTTAGGGTTAACAGTTTTTCAAAGATAGTTTGATGGGCAGGGGGCTAGGGAGTGGGTGCTTCTGATTGGTTGGAGATGCAATCATAGGAATGTGGAAAATGGTCCTCATGCACTGAGTTTGTTTCTAGATGGAAAACACAGGACAGGTGAAGTCACGAGTCATGAATCTGGATGGGGTCACTCAGTTGTCAGAATGTCAGAGACTGAAAGATATCTCAAAAGACCAATTTTAGGTTCTACAATAGTGTTTTACCTACAGAAGCAGCTAGGGAAGTCACAAATCTTGTGACTTCTGACCACATGACTCCTGAGCAATAAGGGATCATAGGAACTATATCTACATTTTAGCAAATTTCAGGTCCCTCCCATAATCTTAATCTTATGGTTTTTCATTAGTCCTTCCAAAGGTAGTTTCAGCCCCCAAACAATGAGGGAATTCATTTTAGGGGGGGACTATAATCATCCTTGCTTCAAAGTTAAACTATAAACTAAATTTCTCCTATGGTTAGCTTGACCTATACCTAGGAATGCAGAAAGACAGCCAGCCTGTGAGTCTAGAGGCAAGGTGAAATCACTCATGTTAAACTTCTCTCACTGCTATAATCTTTGCAAAGACAGTTTCACTGGTGTCAAGGTTGGGGCCACAACAGGGAGGGTGTACCTGTGGGGCATGGAGGGTGCTGCTCTGTCTAAGAAGAAGCCCCTG